AACTTGCACCTAGAAGTAACATTTTGAATTTAGAGAGGCTATTTGAAAAAATTTCTACGTCCGTTTCTTTCTGGAGCTCATTATATTGTCGTTGCAGCCTATTCATGATCGCGTGATTGCCGAGATTGCTTTTGGATCCCTTGGTAGAAAATGGTGTGTATTTTCCTTTTCACGAGATTTTATAGGGTGTATTAAGTCGAAGCTGTTCCAACAGTCCAGGGCAATCGAAACCACCTCTTACAATTTTATATAAAAACTAATGATCTAATATAAGCTTTCTATTTTTTAAGCTTTTCATTTTGAATTTTGAAAGTCTATCGACGTACGAAGACAACTGCTTAGCTAGAAGATTGAAATGACACATGCCATAAAAATCTTTTCTGCATACGTTCTAGTCACTTAACATATACTTCGTAGTGTGGTGACCAAACCGGGCTCCAATACTCCAAAATTGAACGAACGTATGCGTTATATAATAAAATTTTAGTGGCTAGTTTTAGCTCCTTACAGTTACGTTGTTTGTGAAATCGAAGTTTTTTATCCAAAACAACGCTTAGGTCCCGGATAGAAACTACTTCTTTAAGTTGTTTTTCATTGATGTGGTACGAAGGTGATGCTTGCAATCTATGCCGTGAGAATCTAATAAAATTACATTTATCAACATTTAGTTCCATTCGGTTTTGTTCAACCCAGATTGCCAGATTATCAACATCCTCTTGAAGAAGCACAACATCAGTGGCTGAGTTGATTTCTTTACAAATTTTTAAGTGCAAAAAGATAGACCTTTGAATATTTTAAAACCGAGACTTTATCATTTATGAAGACGTTAAATAGGGTAGGGCCAAGATGAGAGCCTTGGGGTACCCCTGAAAGAACTGGCAGTGGATCAGAAGTAAAATCTTCCACGACTACACTTACCACTCAATCTGATAAATAAGAAGAAAACCACTTAAGCAATCCACCCCCGAAGCCATACTCTGCCAGTTTTGACATCACAATACTATGGTCCACTCTGTCAAAAGCCTTGCTGATGTCGGTGTAAATAGTGTCACCTCGATTGTTCTTGTCTACAGACTGACTAATATCTGACCCGAATTCAGCAAGGTCCATACGAACCCAAACTATCGAGCCGTCATAAAATGTTTAATGTGCCAGGATAAAATAGAACAAAGAAGTCATTCGAATACTATAACAATGATTGGCATAAGTGTAATTGGTATTTTTTTTAAAAGAGCGGGCAAACGAGCATGCGGCTCACCTGATGGTAAGTGACTACCGCTGCTCATGAACAAATGCAACACCAGGGTAATTGCAGGTGTGTTGCCGGCCTGTTAAAAAGGAGTAAGCTCTTTTCTTGAAGGTCCCTAAGTGGTATTGGTCTGGAAAAATCGCCGGGGGTAAACTATTCCACAGAGACATCGTATGAGGAAGAAAACTCCTAGTAAAACGTGCAGTGGTGGATCGCCAGGCATCCAAATGGTTTGAATGGTATCGGAAATTTTGCAGCAATGTGCGTTCGTAAAATTTGGTGGCTGGAATTAATTTGAACAATTCCTCAAAGCAACTGTGTATATATGTACATCAAACTTCTGCAAGGAACTCGTGTTCACCCACGAGTCATTTTGAGTATGTTAAATGCCTCCACGATACAAAAGAAATTCCTTGTGCGGGGTAGCGTTTAAAAAATCCCCAAACTTTCTTTTCCATTTTTTCATAAATCATAAATCTTTATTTGTAAGAATCACGGTATAAGAAGATGACACAATTTATACAGTGCAGTCGTGTTTCGCTAACAGTAGTGCATAGCATGCAAATTATAATTGTGAACTGTTGATATGACAATATAATATATAATATAATATTTAAGTCATAAAAACATCCAGATTTTAACCAAATTATACAAATGTTTCTTATATAATATTTCGTTTATTAATTTAAATTCTTTAGGTATTTGCAATTTTTCATATTTAACAAGCCTAGCAATGACGTTTAGGCCAAGTATGTTTGGGGATATATATGTCATTACTTGCTTTAATAAAATCATCTTACAATAATTGAAATGTCATCAGAGTACTGAATACATTTGTGATTTATAATGGCAACAATGTCATTAGTATATAAAAGGAATAGAATCGGTCCTGATATACTTCCTCGTGGAATGCCGAATATATATTATTTATATCCTGATGAATAAGATATCAAGTTATTATTTTTATCTATCAGTGACAACACGTTGTTGTCTGCCTTTTAAATATTACAATAACCATTGAAGTACTAGTCTTCTGATCCCAACTGTCTCTAATTTTTGCAATAATATATCATTTGAAATGAAATCAAAGACCTTTGAGAGATCAAAGAATAATCCTGTTGTCAATTGTCTAACGAAAACATTTCGTATTGTTCACTTTTCATTAACTGGTATTTATCACAGTAATCAACTATTCTTTTATACTTACATAAATTTAATCGTGTTCTTTACTAGCCTGTGAGTTTCCACTAATGGACATGGCCTTCTTACGTTGTAGGAAACTTTAAGGGTCATTCTTGGCAGGCGGAGTTACGATCGCAGTACTAGACGTCACCTTCTATGCTACTCCCCTTCGCTAGTCTGGATGTTTAACACTTGGCACAAACGAGGTGGTTACACCACCATATACCATTAAATTTTCTAGCACGTCCCATAGTCTCTTCCAACTACTATCATAGGACGAAATGAGGGTGACAAACGAGCGAAGATTTACATGTACCCTCGATGATTAAGATTCAGAATTCAGATGCGTTATCACCCCCGAGGACTAAGATGAAATGCCCGTTTCCGGTGAAAAAGATCTCAGGTTCTCTACACTCACACGAAACGTAGCAGCACTAAGCTGCTATTTCACACTGGTATAATATTTATTCTATGGCAGCATGTGTTTTCGCCGGACGAGCATACCCAATCGTGCTACAACTAGAATATAGCTGCAGCATATACCACGTATAAAATGGGAATTTTCGCCTTTACAACCACACAACTATAATTTCATACATTAAAGTTGTGTGGCCATTTTATTTGCTCTATCTTTGGAGTGTCATAAGTACTTTCAATATGACGCTGGCAAAATGTGAATAAGTGCATTCTGAAGAACGTGTACCTTTTCGTTTTTCGTACAAAAGATACTTAAGAATTACCTCGGTGTTAGTCTGTATGCCACATAAATTTTCGATAGTTCGAGTCAGATGTTACAAACTTTGCTTAGTTATAAAATACTACTTCCGAAATCTAGACATGAGGTAAAAAAGTAAGTTCAAAAAAGACACTTTAATTTTGCATAGCATGTGCTTGACCAATTTTATTACTTAATAATAGATCACTGCAGTTGTTTGTAGTTCTCGTAATTTTTATTACCTAGCCTACAGCTGCTCTCATAACTTTCCCTCAAGAGAAAACCTTTCCCTTCATTGTACCTTGAACTCTGCTATTTTTTTTAAAAAATCTCTGTTTTTGAAGCTTGTTTTGGAATAAGTGACCCCGTGCTATTGCTGTTATTGAGTGCCGGTGAGCTGGCAACTATAGAGAATTCTTTAGGGTCCAATAAGCATTATAAGAGGGGACTATGAGATATGTTAAAAAGATCTCATGACTTTCGGTAAATGGCCATATGACCATCTAGTTAATGTCAGATATAGAATATCTAGACCAGCGATACGGAGTAGCTGTCTCCCGCCGGGCAAGGTGTTCAGCCCGGGGAGCGGCCAAAGCTCCAATTGGACGACGCGACGACAGCGCCGCCACACGATTACTAATTTTCCGGCTATGCATGCTTATTAAGGCAGATTAATAATAAAATGGGTGAGGCCCATGTCTCGTAACAGGACTGCTAAGCGATGGTGAAAAAGAAGAAGGGTGAAACAGTTGTGATCGGACCTCTGTATTTTTCAATGTGGATATGTTTTTCTTTGTCCTTTTCAGCTGTTTAATCCATTCGTTAGTAATAAGATATAATATTTCACATATTGCAGTTCATCAACGGCGTAAATACTAATGACTACTCAATCCTGTTATAGTTGCTGCTGCCATTATATTTCTAGTTTTTGAGGTATAAGTTTAATATATCAAACTTTACTATCTCCAGTGAAACTTCAGGTTTTTAATCAGTTCTAAGACATGTACGTGAGAACTCAAATGTTTTGAAGGGTGCTTATTAGAGGATAATACAGCACGGAAATATCTAAAGAAGTAAAGAAAATCTCGTTTCATGATTATATCATAGTTATAATTTTAAATATTAGATTTAATTACGTTTGTATTCTTGAAACATCGGGCTCTTTGATCTATATTAACGATAACTTACTTTTACAGTGTCATTTATATTAGTAACTGCAAGCACGGTGTAGACTTGAGATTTCTACTGTCCTCACATTTCTCTCTTTTAAAAAAAATCTGTTGCGCTAAAACAATAAATCATTTTAAAAGTATTTCCAGAACCTTTTTGTTTCAAATATTTATTAATGCCTAATACCTAATAAATTTGTTTCGCTTATCCAATTTCTCACGCAAATTCGTTTTTTTCTTAGTTCTTCTTCTGTAGAAATTGAGCAGTTAAAAATATTTCGAACACCTTTCTTGAAACTATTGTCACTATAGTGTTATCGATTCAACAGCATTTGAATAACTGGAATAGAATACCGATATGATCCAGTCCAACACTGGACACGATTGACTCGCTGGATTATTGGACTGGAATAATGTGAACCGAGCATTATTACTAAATAATGTTGTAATTTCAAGTATAAGATGTAGTAATCTAAGCCAATCGCTCTTACCTAATATTGAACAAATTAATGTAAAGGTTTATAAGTTTAGCCATTTATAAAGTCTACAGGTCCTACGGTACAAGCTGTATTTGGTTAAATGCTCCGTTGTAGAGTTTACGGTTTAACTCGTTCTATATTTAACTTATCTAGTAGGCGCCATTTAATTAGCCATTACAATTTCAAATAGCTAAACCTTTCGCTTCACAGTTGCACATGCGCCATTAAGCGAGCTTCTTTCCCTCCAGCGCACCTCCTTGACTCAGCTCAGTAACTCGGTTCAGTTCAGTCAGTCTATCCGCTCAGCTATCCGATGTGTCGCGTCGACGCGTATGGACGTATTGTGATTTCGCGCCACTATGATTTCTTCCATACGGTTACATACGAGATTACATTCCTTTAAGCTTTGAAATGTAACTGTTATTTTTAATTGTGCCTAAAATTACAACAGTTTGATTCAGTTTACTGTGTGCGAGATACCTGTGTTGTGATATTGATTGTTCTCTTTTTTAACGGTTACACGATGCAAACGGTTCTGAATTTTAATTCCATATTAAAAGTGTATGATTTTGTATTTCTTAAATAATGTTGACAGTATTACTAGTGTTTTCTATTCTACTTTTCCATTCGGGTAAGTCAAATATACTTAATATACTTAAATAAAGATATAAATTACAGCATGCTTAACTTTAAGTTAAGTAATAAGTATATACCAATTCTAAAATATATTTTAGGTGGGTAGCTTATATATTTGAACCTTAGATATAAAAGGAAATTTGGAACAATCTTCGGACGCACACTGAAAATATTTTACTTGCAAATAAAGTTGTGTTATTTATTAACTAGCTCTTACACGCTTTTTTATTTGTACTTGAATCATGTTTTAAAATTTATTACCTAAAGTATATACTTATACACTTTATACACTAATTTTATGGATTTTATCGCGCTTAATTCTAACTTTTTTAATTCCCGACCGATGAAATAATTACTGTCTTGTTTCTTTTTACTTGGCTACACATATAATAATTTTGCCATATCGTGTCAACAAACAATTTAACAAATTTAAACTTCTGCATACTTTTAAATGTCTTTTAGGCTAGGACTACCAAACATAGATAAAAAACGTCAATTAGTTACCTAAAATAGCTAGACGCGTTTGCTTGTTTTTATTGAAATATACGAAATACAAGTATCACAATGCCGTCACCGGGTAATACGATTATAGCGATACCGTGTCCGATAGATTGTATAATACTGAGTCTGATTTTCTTTGCTTGTTGTTTGATTATTATTAATGACTTAGTAATAATATAGTGAACGAATAATGGAAAATGTTTGCACTAATTAGGAAACATCTCGAAACTCAATAACTTACAAGTTTTAGTGTTCTGCAACAATAATTTCACGGTCTTTTTGGAAAAATAAATCAATTAAATCTGTTGCAGATTGTAAGATATGTCTTCTTGAAGTTGCTCAAATACAATAGAAATGATTGAATTAAATTCGGCCAACATAATTAGTATGCCTTTGAATTAGCGCTTGTTGACTACCAAAAGTGTACATTAAATTTGTAAGACAAACTAATTTTACTGTACAGTAGATAGATCACTTTAATAAATTTGCATTTTCTACTTATTCACTGTCGGCGCCAAATAAGTATAAGAGAATTTGAATTTAGAAGAAATATTATGCCAATTTTTCCCAAAAGTTGCGTTAAATTCCGCTGAGGGATTTTTTGTGGATCCAGAAGTTTAAAAACTATTTCAAATTGTCTGATCGCCTCTAATAGCGTGGCGGTGATGGAAAATTCTCGCATTTCTGAACAGGTCTTTGTCCGCTTTTGGACTGTTATAGGCATATGACGATGAAGACTGAACACACTACTGAACACAAAACCATCTAAAACATGCGTAATAACGCCATAATTGGACTGTTGTTTACATTTTCTTAGTCCGTATATTTAAATTACATAAAGTATGTATGTAGAAATGTTATAATTGTAATCAAAAGGTTTTTAAATTACTATAAGGAAAACATCATACATATTTAATCACGGCTTCTAATTATTCATACTTTTGTTTCTTATTGCTGTAATTAACTACATGTGGAAATTATTTTGTTTATATTAAATTTTTCCTTACCATTTTGTCTGCAGCAGTTTACTGCCGGGGCCTCTCCCAAGGTGCCTTACTAGGGCCACTTTTCTTAGAATGTTAATTATTTAAATAATTGTAATGACGATTTTAATGTTCAACACTACCTTTTAGCATTTTTACGATTCCATTGATTATTGATATAAATGATTTGTAGATATAAATGACTTACCTTTTGTTTATCTTGCCATAATGAACACTAAACAATGTATCTTTTAGTTCACCTCATTCTATTACAGCCCTTTACAAGTCATAATATACAGAATATAGACCTCCCCAAGGAATGCCACAAGACACGGTTCTGAGCCATCTGCATCCATTGATTTCCTACATGTTTTATCAGGTCGTCACTCCATCTAGTGGGGACCGCCATACACGGGGTACGAGGCTGCAACTCGAGAACTTTTCTTCCGAGTGGGTTGTCGGTTCTTCAAACTATGGTTGGCTCATTGTCACTTCAGCTAATTAATTCGTTGGAGTGTATCGGTTACACTAGTTCAACTGTATTTACATTACTTAAAAAAAAAAAGTATTTCTCTATCTCAAAAAAATGAATTTTATTTATTGTATTGGTCATGTTGCATTATTACATCAGATTTTGATAGACCAAAATACTTAGCAAATGAACACCATGAATGATTATAGAAATAATACGGAATAATTTCAATAGAGAAGATGGCTGGATGTAAGCGTTTGCTTGGAAACTTGGAATCTAATATTAATTAAAACAAAATGACTGAACTAAGTGGCACAAGTGTGTCTCCCCACGCACTCCACGGAAACTTTATTTAAAAGGGAACTGTATCTGTACTTGTGTGTGTGTGTGTGTGTGTGTGTGTGTGTGTGTGTGTGTGTGTGTGTGTGTGTGTGTATCTTGTGACTTGTCGCCGCCGCTGCGCTGGGTAGAAGAGGGTTGTTCCTTTCTCACTCAAAGGCTAAGTATAGTGGGAAGCTAAGTAGAGGAAACACAACCAGCGTCTTGGCATTATACTGCGAGGAGTAATAGTAGACTATGAATTTAAAGTTTGAGTTTTAGCTTTTATTATAATAATAAATATTGTATATTTAAATGAAATACTGTGCTTGTAAAACAGCTTGTAAAGAACTATCCCTTGCCACGTACAACGGCAATGTTGATATAATAAAAATATTAATTCTTTAATATTTTGTCAGTTACGTTTTGCGATGTAGTTGAATTAATTACTGTCAAAATTAATTTTCATCGCACATATATATGTAAAAATCGAATTGGAACTTGAAACGGATTCGAACTTTCTCTTGCAATTAATTGGAGACAATTAGTACGCTGCATATGTCGTGCGACTATTTTTGGTGGTTGAACGGACAAACCAATTTAATATATCCCTCACATAAAAATATTATTGGGAACTAGCCCATATGAGCTATTCAATAACAAGGAATTGAAAACAATTTGAGTTTAAGGATATATAAAATTTAAATAGAATAAATATTTTTTTTTCAATAACTCGCAAAACTTTAATAGCTTTAATTCTTAGATACTCTTCCTAGATAGTCTTAGGATTACCTTCAGAATTTTAAGCTTCGGAAGCTGTTAAACTATATTCTTTTTTTATAATTCTCAGAAGTAGATTTATTCTTCTTATCTTTATTTTTATATTATTTAATTTTATATATTATAGGTATTTTTTTTTATAGAATTAGGGTGACAAACGAGCACACAGTCCACCTGATGGTAAGTGGATGCTGTGGCCCATAGACATCTGCATCTGTCCCCGTTTGCGAATCATAATGCAAATGCGTTGTCACCCGTGAGGACTAAGATGGAATGCCTCGTTTCCAGTAAAAAAGGGTCTCCGGTTCTCAACACTCACCATACGATAATCAGCAGCGTTATGCTGCTATTTTACGCTGGTATTCTGTGAGAGCGTGGTCCTTCCCCGGGCGGGCCGACCCATTCCTGCTACAACTATACCAGTAATATAGCTGCAGCATGGCTTTACCACGTAAAAATGAATTCGGTAACAGATCGGCTTTGTTTCTGGGATTTTTTGTTTTGTAAAAGCAAATATAGTGCGATAACACCGAATGCATCGGTGGGGTGGAGTAGTCGAATCAATACATACATACCCACACATATAAGATGTAGTAAATATTAAAATACTTATTTTATTTTATTTATTTCTTCGAATCGATACGATTGATTCTCAACTGAGCGTGTCTGATGCACGTACTGTAGAAGCCATTATTTAATAATAGCCACTAGCCAGCACCTTATTGTCCAAGTTGTCTTAAGGATATTATAATTCAAGGACATTTATACAATTGAATTGGCACTTGTACTTGCGATTGTAAGCACGTTTGTGAAGTATTCGTGCAACTATAAGCGTGGCAACTATAGCAAATATGGAGGTCTATGTTCACCAGCGAACTTTTGTTTTGAAATTGTGTGTATGTCGAAGAGATTTAAATATATAGGTTGCTACTACTAGTTAAATGTCTTTGGTGTATGTGAAGAATGAAGGCCAGAAATGTCCTCATAATAATACATTATGTCGTTGGGATTGACAGTTAAATAATGACATAACAATAAGAAGAACAAATAAATGACGTATTCATACTGTTCGGTGTAAAAAATATAACAATCAATCATCTTAAAGTAATTCGGTACGGGTTTGGCGGATGGGAGCTAGGCGACAAAAAGTGTAAGACTTTTTCGTCACTACCCCTTGTGTCATAGTGTAGACGGCGTTGGCGACGAAATAAAGAAGTGAGATGAAATAATATCCACCTTTTACACACGCACTTTTACTTATCTTGCCATGAAAGAAATATTTTTTTATTTCAAATGACACTTCATTTTAATAGACGTTAGTAATTCATTTATTTGTATTTGTTAATCAATAATATAATACCTACGTTTCTCAATAATAATATTCTACGCAAAGAACTTCGTTCCAACCGAGTGTTCCACGACACTCACGCATTTTTTTTCTGTAATTATGCACCACCCAGGAGGTCACGGGAGGAATGATGCGTTTGAGGTTTTGAAGTCATAATCTTACGATTAGAAAAGACAGTAGACTCTTCTAAGGAGCTAAGCGCTTATCATCCTCGCCGGCATTGATGAATTTTTTTTATAGGATAGGGTGTCAAACAAGCACACAGTCCACCTGATGGTAAGTGGTTGCTGTGGCCCATGGACATCTACATCTATCTTCGTTTGCAAATTAAAATGCAGATGCGTTGTCAGCCGTAAGGACTCAGATAGAATGCCTCTTTTTCAGTAAAATAGGTCTTCGGTTCTCTACACACACCATACGAAACACAGCAGCATTAAGGTGCTATTTTACGCTGGTATTCTGTGAGAGCGTGGTCCTTCCCCGGTCAAGCCGACCCATTCGTGCTACAACTATATCTACATAGCTGCAGCATGGCTCGACCACGTAAAAAATAATCTTATAATTTTTTTTTATAGGATAGGGGTGATAAATAT